TATTGTTACCTTAAATAGAAGCGAAAGGTTGTGAAATCATCAAGGATCATGATAGTGAACTTAGTTGTCCCTTTCCAATTTGTTTCGCTTTTGGTTTTTTCTTATTACTACAGTCATGGGAGTTTGGGTATGGATCGATCTGACTTGCAATTCTATATGATTCTACTTGCAATTTTGTTATAATACTGATTTTATACCAATTTGGATCATTTGGGCAATCTAGGATTGTAGGATCATATAATCCGGACTGCAATTTTCTTAATCATGGTTTATAGATGTATTGGTAGATGGAGGAGGAGATTGATGGTGATGGGGCTTAAGGTGACACATGACAACATATGAGCGGCGCAATTATAATTAATATTTTACATCTGACTGTGTTTGATTTAATCAAAGGTAAAATGAAGATTTAAAAAGTTTGTAACTTCACGTTAACATGTCTCGTAACGGTTCAATAATGGAAGGGGGATTTTAGAACATATCATAGATAATATTGTCTTGGTCTCTGTAATTGCTAGAACCATATAAACAAATCCATTGATAACAAGTTTTGAGATCAAATATAAAAAAGAAACAAGAAATACACTTGAACTTTATATGACAACAAATGATATTTTTTATTATTATTAATTACACTTAGCACCCCTGCACTTTCACCACAATCACACTTTGAACCTTCCACTTTCAATTGTGATGATTTACCCCTTACACGTAAAGTCAAGTTGCAATGTTATACGTATGTCTAACATGACAATGAGCTAGACGTTCTATTTTTTTGGGGAAAATTCGTAAAATCAACCATCTTCCCACCTCATTAGCACCAATGCACTTTCGCCATAAATCTAATTTTGGTCTATCCACTTTAAATTGTGTTCTCAAAAAAATGTCATGTACGGCTCTTCTGCCAATTTTAGTCATGCCAAACTCATTAACGCCGTATGTACAGAAGGGTGACATTACAACTTGACCTAAAGTGTAAGGGGTTGATTGAAGGGGCCAAAGTGCAATTTTGGTGAAAGTGCAAGTGCTATGCTAAGTGTAATTAACCCATCTTACTTTTAGTAAAATTATAAGACAACAAATGATCTTCATGTGACCCAGTCAAAATTAACAATATAAATTAAGAGGCTGCTTTATAAACTTCAACAAACTACAAAACAGAAAGAGCAATTTTGAAATGAAGCCTATTCTTACCTGAAAATAAAAGAATGAAGAGATGACCGCACTCAGCCACAGAAATAATGACACATATAACAAATATGTTGAGGACAAAATAAGCCGAACTCCATCTAATATAGCCCAAAGATGAGGCTTCACCACAGGAGTGGAGAACTTAGGGGAAGATCCTCTAGGTGTATGTGCAGTTTGTCCATCCTCATTACGTTGATCAAGTTCAGCTTTCCTAAGAGCCAAAAGAACTAAGTCAAGAAAAAAAGGAAATTTGGCTTTTAAAGTCACTCCAAATAGCTTTCAACTATAAAGGATCATTACTTACCCAAAAAACTATAAAGGATCAATCAAGTACATTATTAAAAATATAGACACATTTAGCAGTTCAACCAAAGGGAACCAATATATTCTCAGCATAAAATATTTCTGACAAACATCTCTTTTCTGCATACCAGCGCAATATATGGAGATTGTAAACGCTAATGTAAAAGAAAATAATTGAAAAGCACGTATATTAGATTAGACAGTACATGTGTTAGCTTTTGAAAGCCTTCAAAACCAAACAAAACATATTGTATATCTAAATGGTCACATACAAATTTGTACTTGGTGAATTTATCTTCTCTTTTTTTCTTTTTCTTTTTCTCCCCAAAATGCATGCTTGAATAAGTGCTTTTGAATACTACTGCCTTAACTACCATCCCAACCTCAAAAAAGAGAAGAAAAAATTTTATATACTGCACACGTATAAGATTATAGCAAACCATTAAGTAGCTGATCTTAGAGCTTCTTCAGGCATTATATATGCAAAAATCTTGACTGTCACAAAATTGTTATATAACATACCTCTTGTCTGAAATTACCATGTTTTTTTAATATAATCATTCATTTATATTTTAAAGTCTGTTAATCAAAAGATAAATCAAACAACAGTTGTTACAGTTGTATTTACAATCTATAATAGTAATCTTGTAATCCCTAAACATGCATGCGCACACAGAACCAAGAAAAATGTAATTAGCAAAAGAAAACTTCAATATTTTAAATCCCATATCCCAATTTACCTAAAAAAATAAATAAATAGCTAACTATATTCCATCCTAATTACAGATTCCAATTTTGTATTTCCAATAACGAAACAGACCAAAGTATTAACATGAATCTCAAAAGTCACCATCAGAAGAAGAAAAAAAACAAGAGAAATGACAGATAACTGACCTCATGGGAGACAATTCCTCAGAGAGATGGGATATATCCTTGTTGATCCTTTTTGATGACTGTGAAGCAAGTTCCATCAACAGAGCAGCAACTAGGAGTAAATCTGAAGAAATGAGTAAAAAAAAGAAAAACAAATTTTTTTTTTTTTTTTTTGGGGGGGGGGGGACTCTTATCATCTTGAACACAACCTACTTCTCCTATTATCATCTTCCCTCCGATTGAGTAGAGGATGGCATAGAGCAGATCAGGGATTCGAGTTAAAATTTCTTATCTCAAATCCATTTCAAAAAATCTCAATCCAATTCGATTCCATAGAGTAAATATTTATCCAAAGTTCTAAAAATATCAAATTGTGCAGACCACAAGACGCATGGCCAATTTGAATACCATCAATAGAAATAATTAAATTATAAACTATATTTATTATTATTATTATTATTATTTGAACAAGTACAAATTGTAATTTACAATCCATGTTTTGTCTCAACAATATCAAACACAACAAAATAGACTCAATAAATGGAAAACAAATGGACCATCCACCAAAACTCACAGGTCAACCTGGAGCTGAAGCGGCAAAATCACACAGCTTCTTCAATCTCTTATCCTCAAAACTGTACCGCATCGCCTTACAATTACAACGAATGACGACTCCCATCTGTTGTTTCTCCCCGTACAAAAGAAAGTATAACAAAGATGTAGAAATTCAAGTGCTTTGGAATTATTCTGTTCGGAATCATCTCTGGAAATTCATCAGCAACCGAACCAAGGTCGATTCGATACTTCACAAACCACTTGGAACGGTCTCTCTCCGATTCATAGACGTTGAACTGCGTGCTTGGAGGATGATACATCTCGATAAGATGCAAATGGTCCTGACTCCCCGAAATAGTTAAAGCACCTCCGATCCCAGCCTGATGGAAGTGCAGGCATCGACATTGTTTGCAGACACTCTTTAAGGTGGCAAACTATTTATTTTTTATTTATAAATATATAAATGAGTATTGTACTCAGTGACTTAAAAAATAAATAAATCAGATCAACCAAATAGAATTTGTAACTTAAAAAATAAATGAATCAGATTATCAAAGTCGAACTTGTGGTGTATGTACGAGTCTAAAAAGCACACTGTGAGGCAAATAAATTGCAACTCAAAATATAACTATAAATTCTAAGAAAACTAGAGTTGCACAGTCCAACAAAAACTGTGTTTGTAACTCTCAATCCATTTGGAAATTGGATATGAAAAAGAGAGGAACGGATAGAATTCAAAGGAACTAATTGGAATTTATAGAAAAAGGAAGAAAGATAGAAATTAGAGCTTAGAGATAATCGAGGTGTTCACAAAAATGGGTAGAACCAGTAAATCGATCCAATTTATAGTCTAAATTTTCAGTTTGGTATTGTTTTTATATTAGTTTGGTTTGGTCTGATTTTTATATTAATTTGGTTTTGCTTTCGAAAATGGTAGAACCATTCAAATTAGTCTGATTTCCGGTTCTAAGATTTTTTTTTTGTTATGGTTCTGAACTGAACTATAATATATCTATGTAAAAATAAAAATATAGAAGGTATTCTTAAGATTTGGACACCAACCTTGATTTTCAAATTAACAGTCTCTATGGTTATAATTTTTTGAATTTTTTACAAAATATTCTTGAAACATGCAACTGTGTAGATTAAAATTGTTTAAATTCCCTTCAAAAATATAAGTGGCTTCAAATAACTGACATAATCACCACATTAAATACCAAAGGTTGTATCATTTATGTATATGTATATATATATATTATCATATCACATCAACAAACACAATCAATTTTCAATACCTGAAACTACAAAAGGAGAATTCAAGAACTGAATTAATTCACTGATTTAAAGCAATTCAAGAACTGAATTAATTCTCTGATTTAAAGCAAAAAACCACATTCATATACAAGAGACAGACTCAATGTATTGGAAGGAATGAAACCAGAAATACATAAAAGAATCCTCAATCATGCCATTACCATCGCAATGCTCTGCACCAACATCACATATCTTCTCGAAACTCTTATCACCAAGATTGTACCGTAAAATCTTACCCGGTATGTGCAGCACCATAAACGAGTCATCATCTTTTTTCTCTCGTACAAGCGAAAGTATAGCGAACGAGTAATACATTGGGTTCCACGAGAGCCTCTGCATCATCTGGGGAAACGCAGCTCCAACTGAACCAAGATCGACATGGTACTTCACAAAACAGCCAGAGTAATCTCTTTCTATCTCATAAACATCGAATTGAATCCTTGGATTGTATATCTCAACAAACTGCAAATGATCGTTCGACTCCCCGTAATACCTAAATGGCCTCCCTTTCCAATCCCCATGAGGAATCGGAGGCATTGGAATAGTTCTAACACGCTCATCCTCCATGTTGAAATACAATGAGTCCCCAAATGTGTTGAACCAGTTAATCGCACCGTTCCAACAGACCCCGCTATGAAATTGGGAATTTCGATTAGCGGTGAAAGGTTCGGCACAAGCCCTCCAAGAACCGGTCTCAGATGAGTAAATCTCAATTTGATAATAAAGCTTGTTCTGATCAGAGTCAACCGACAAAACTAAATCATCACAATCAACACGCCAAACGCAGACAACTCTGTAGTGAGGTGATCTTGACGGGTCAAACACTAAATTGAAACCCTTATGGCCATCACGGGGTTGAGGAAGAGACTTGAATTGCTTGGTGGTGGGATTGAGGATATGATAGCGCAATCGATAGTCGCCTTCAAGGTTGGAATAGCTAGAACAACATAAAAATCCATGGCATGAGCTAAAAATTTCTTTACCTGATAGACTTGGAATCGTCGTGAGAGGTGCTAAGTAAGCATCATCACCGTCGTCGCTTGGATTTTCATTGTTTTGAAGAGGGATGAAATTGAGTTCTGGGTTACGACGTCTCTTGGACGAGTACAAGAATAGGCCGGAGACAAAGCTGGAGTTGGGATTCCGGCAACGTGCGAAATGGGGATTGACGATGAGAGAGAGCCAGTGTTTGGATACGGACTTGAATCGCAGGAGTGATTTTACTGGTAACTTTATGAGAATTTGGGTTAAGATGTCATCGTTGGCGGCAACTTTATCTATAGGGGATGAGTGCACAGACATGAGGGACTTGGGAGAGTATGTTTCAATCTTGCTTCAACTCTCAGTATGTGGCTTGAATTATTTTTTATAATCTTGCTTCAACTCTCACTATGTGGCTTGAATTATTTTTTATCTATCAGATTAAGCTATTGTATATAGAACTTGGTTTTGCGAGTGTGTTTTGATGAGTGCTCTCTGTTTCAAACATTGCGCGTACATTGTTGAATATTTGAGACATCGGTTGCTTGTTGAAATTGGAAAAACAACAATGATTCATCCCACTAATTTGAAAGTATCAATGGATCACTAAGAGCATCTCCAACTCTGAACCAAAGTTTTCATTAAATCTGAGTAAAAAAATGACTTTTTCCTCAATCTGATACCGAGTGCTTCAACGGTTGATTTTCATCAAATTTTCATCAAATCTGTGCGGGGATAACCGGTTGGTCGACTAGTTAAGCTAAAAAAAAAATTTATTTATTTATTTTTTTTTTTGAACTTTTTGAACCTTTTAGTGGTCGACCGGTAAGGCAAAAAAAAAATTTTTTTTTTTCAACTATTTGACCTTTTTTTTGGAACTGTTTGAACCTTTTGGTGGTCAACCAGTTAATCAATCGGCTGGTCGACCCGTTGGTCTCCTCCAACGGTCATGCACAGTGTTTTGATGAAATGCGGAACCTGTCTTCATTTTGGTGAAACGTTTGGTGAAATCTCGATTTGATATCAATTTGGTGAAACTATTAGAGCATGAAAAAGTACTTTTTTCACCAAATTTTAAATTTGATGCCAGATTTGGTTCAGGGTTGGAGATGGTCTAATGAAGTGAAAATTAAAAAAAAAAAAAAAAAAAAAAACACAAGAGCAAAACATCTCATCATGTGGGACCCACACCACTTTAGAGCTATTAGTGTTCCTCTTTTTAGTGGTCTGACTTATTTTTGTTGGAAAAATGCTTTGGAGCACTAATGATGTGGCAGTGGGCCCTGCCCACTTTCTATGCCTTGTTTTTTTGTTTTTTTTTTTTTTTTGTTTTTTTTTGTCATTCCCAATGCATTAGTATTATTAGGTCATGTTTGATTCACAAAACTAATACTGAAGTATTAATAATCTTATTAAATTAGTGTGGTATTCGCTATCCAATTTGACTAATATCCATTGGATTAATAATCTCACCCCTACCCCATTACTAATAATCCTACAAATTTATTAGATTAATTATCCATTAGATTAATAATCCTAAACCAAAATGTTAAAACAAGCATAGGATAATTGGACCCACAGATTAATAATCTTAATCTCATACTCTAATCTACCCAATCAAACATACTCTTAATAATGTATTTTTTAGTAGTCTAAATCATTGCTGATTGAAATTGGCCTCTAACAAGGCCAGTGGTGTTTGTTCCACACAAGTCAATTCAATTCTACATCAGGGTACACTTTTCCCAACCTTCCTCAGGAAATTTCCACTGGCGAGCACGAAAAGGAGGGTATAACGGAAAATATGAGGGAACATTAAAGCAGAATTCTTTATGGCTAAAGTTTCGGCAAATGAATTGGCATCGGTAATATGGAGGGGTCAACCAGCTAAAAAAATGGTGAAAAATTAATTTTTAATTTATTTTGAATTATATCACCTCTTAAATAAAAAATTTTAAAAAATCAAAAAAATTAGCTTTTAACTATCTTTCAAATCACCTCTAAGTGATATTGTTGTAAAAAAATTTTAAAGAGTAATGTTAGATACCTAAAAATTCTACCAAAATTTATACCAAATGTCTCACATAGATGTGGGATCCACACCATGTGGGTTCCATACCCATGTAAGACATTTGATAGAAATTTTGAATTTTTTTTTTTAGATCTCTAGCATTTTTTATTTTTAAATCAATAATCCCAAAAAAAAAAAAAAAAAAAAAAAAAAAAAAAAAAAGAGTATAATTTCAATTAAACGAATCCTATTGATAAGGGTGTAAAAATGGCCCGTGGGCGGTCCGAAGCCCGCGTGAGGCTCGAGGTGCACTCGACCTGTTTTGGGCCGATTAGGCCCGGGCCCAAGCCCAATCCAGTACCTTGAGTCTGGGCCTGGGCATTTCATTTGAAGCCTGGCCCGGCCCAGCCCACCCTACCCGACCCTTTCTCTACCAATGGTCAAATTTAAAAAAATAAAAAAATAAACAAATTGCAACGGTTAAATAATTAAAAAAATACAAATAAATAAAAAATATGAACAAATAAAATAAATAAAAGATTGATCTTGCAAAAATAAAAATGAAAAAACAAAAACAAAAACAAAATAACATAACAGTAAAAGTCATTTCCTTTTAAAATATATATAATAATTCTAGACCCTCTCTCCTCCCCGCCCAACCTACCCCTGCATCATCACATCATCACATGACCCCCTTTTCACTTTGCTTGCAAATTTGAAATCACGATTGAATGAAAAAAAATAAATAAAATTCAAACGGTTTGCTACTTGCAGCCTGCCCCATCCCACCCCCTACTAGCCTACTTTGTTGCATCTCAATCACTCAACTCACTCTTCATTCATTGAATGAAAAAGAAAAAAAATTAAAAATTCAAACGGTCATAAATTAGTAGAGATGGTCATAAAAAAATTCAAATGGTAATGTATATATATTTATAAATTTACATTACTCTTTCAAACTACTATAAATATCCTTCATTTTTCCAAAATAAATCTTACAAATAATATTCTCTCTCTCTCTCTCTCAATCTCTCTCAACTCTCAATTAATTTTGAAGTGTCATCCCTAAGTGACAATTGCAATTATGCAACAAGAAACTTTTATCAGAAGAAGCTAATTTCTATATCGCATTCGCCAGTTGATAACATTAATTAGTTTAATTAAATTTATTAGTTACTCATTTTTTTCATTAATTATTTGTGCACATATTAATTATTATTTTTTACTCATTGTATTCACACATTATTTAAATTAACTGTTAATTCTTATATATTATTTTACTTACATTACTATAGATCATAATATTCCTAATATTTATGTCGATCTTGATACATATACTACACAATATGAATTTATTGATTCTCCTTCTGATATCCCTCTTCCAACAGATGGATCAACATATATGAGCAGAACTAGTATTGTTTAGGAACATTTTGAAAAAATATTTATAAATAATCCTAATGGTACAATTACATTTAAAGCAAAATGTAAATATTGTGCACATTTACTTAATGCTGCATCTATAGGGAGTACTAGTCATCTAAAAATGCATGCTAACAAACATTTACAAAGTTAACAACATGATATTCTAAGTCAAATGCAATTAGCGGTTTCATTAATAGGTAATTTGCAAACATTTTCATATGATCCTTTACGTGCACAAAATTCTGTAGTTGATTATATTATTAAAAAAAAACAACCTCTTACTAGTTGTGAATGTCCCGATTTTACCGAAATGATTTACGAAAGTTTTGCACCGCAATATCAAAGTTTTTTAAGAAATACTACTAGAAACAAGATTTTAAAGAAATATGAAGATGTTAAAAGTAAATTATTTGACATCTTTAAAAATTTCAATGGAAGAGTTTGTTTAACATATGATCTGTAGTCAAATAGTGGTTTTGAATATCAATGTATCACTACACATTTTATTGATAATGATTGGAAATTAAATAAAAGAATTATTTCATTTAAATTAGTTGAACTTCCATACACTGAACATTCGCTTGGTGTAGAAATAAGAAATATATTATATGAGTGGGTTTTGCAAAATAAAATATTTATAATTAGTTTAGATAATGCAGCATATTATAATCAAATTGTAACCCATTTAAAATCAACTTTACAATTACTTGTTGATGGTGATTTATTTTATGTTCGTTGTTGTGCCTATATTTTAAATTTGATTGTTAAAGAAGCTATGCATGTATACGAGACTTCCATACTTGTAATAAAAAATGCAGTTGTTACTATTATGTCTTTTGCTAATCGAATTTCGGAATATAGAAAAATTTGTCAACGACAAAACATGCCATCTAAAAATTAATTTTAGGTGTTGATAGTAGGTGGAATTAAACATGCCATCTAAGAAGAGCAATAGATTTATTTTTTGCAACAACATCAATAGGAAGTGTACTGACTCCCACAGAACTTAATTGGCGCCAAGTAGCCTTGTATAAAGATTTTTAAAAGTTTTTGATACTTCAACAAAATTATTTTCTTATATATATATATATATATATATATTCCTACTTCACCATTTGTTTTACATATGCTATCAAAAATAATTAAAGTTTTCGTAAAATATATGGGTAATGAATATTATGTAGCCATTTATTTGATAAATATTTTGATCATTTGCCTCATCTTTTAGGTTTAGCCATAATAATTGATCCTAGGTGTAAAGAAGTTGGTTAACAAGAATTTTTAGAACATATTTTTGTTGATCAAACACAGTTTGCCCCTATTATGCAAACATACAACAGATTATTTGAAGAATACAGGGCAACTACATCTGTAAATACACCTACACACACTACACTAGTAGTCTCATCTCAAGGCGGGAGATTAAGTGTTTTTTCAGCAATAAAAAGTAGAAGAATATCTCAACATATAAGTGTAAGCAGTTTTGAACAACAACGTTATTTGAAAAGCCCGTCAGTGGATGATTCTGATGATTTTGATATTTGGGAATGGTGGAAACAAAATGAAACTATGTGGCTTGTGCTTTCACAGATGACTTTTGATATACTAGCCGTTCCTATTTCTACAGTTCTATCGAAAATAGCTTTTAGTGCAGGTAGACGGGTGCTGAGCGATTACCGGAGTAAGCTTTCACCCCAAATGATTGAGACATTGATGATATCTAGAGATCATATGCATGTGCTTACAAGAAGACAAAATTATAGTGAAAATGAGCGAATTCAAAATGATTTGGATGATATATCCTCAGGCAACCCGACTAAAATGTCTGTCTCCTCTGATGATTGATCAACAAATTATTTTTTACTATTTTATTTAATTTCGTGTT